GGTACAGATGCACGCCATTCAACGTAACAGGTACAGATGCACGCCATTCAACGTAACAGGTACAGATGCACGCCATTCAACGTAACAGGTACAGATGCACGCCATTCAACGTAACAGGTACAGATGCACGCCATTCAACGTAACAGGTACAGATGCACGCCATTCAACGTAACGGGTACAGATGCACGCCATTCAACGTAACAGGTACAGATGCACGCCATTCAACGTAACAGGTACAGATGCACGCCATTCAACGTAACAGGTACAGATGCACGCCATTCAACGTAACAGGTACAGATGCACGCCATTCAACGTAACAGGTACAGATGCACGCCATTCAACGTAACAGGTACAGATGCATGTTGTTGACTTGTCTCTTTACCGATGCGTTGGTAAAGCGATGGAGCCGCCTCCCTTCAGGGTCGTAGAGGTCTGGCCTGGTCTCATCTTTGTGCAGTAACCCTGCAACGTCATGTTTACAACACATCAGGGGAGAAGTTGTACAACTCATCAAAGGAGAAGGTGTACAACACATCAAGGGGGAAGTTGTACAAAAATCAAGGTAGAAGATGCACAAGACAGGGGAGAAGGTGTACGACACATCAGGAGAGGTGTACAACACATCAATGGAGTAGATGTGTAAGACATCGGGGGAGAAGGTGTAGAACACATCAGGGGAGAAGGTGTAGAACACATCAGGGGAGAAGGCGTACGACACATCAGGGGAGAAGATGTACAACTTGTCAAAGGAGAAGGAGTACAACACATCAAGGGGGAGTTGTACAAAACATCAAGGGAGAGTTGTACAAAATATCAAGGGAGAAGATGTACAAGACATCAGGGGAGGTGTACGACACATCAGGGGAGAAGATGTACAACACATCAGGGGAGATGTACAACACATCATAGCTAGATTAGACCCTAGTTTGTGATGTAGCTAGATTATCTTTTGATGTAGCTTGATTAGTTTGTGATATAACTTAATTACTTTGTGATATAGCTAGATTAGACCCTAGTTTGTGATGTAGCTAGATTATCTTTTGATGTAGCTTGATTCGTTTGTGATATAACTTAATTACTTTGTGATATAGCTAGATTAGACCCTAGTTTGTGATGTAGCTAGATTATCTTTTGATGTAGTTAGATGACTTTGTAATGTAGCTAGATTAGGCCCTAATTTGTGATGTAGCTGAATTGCTTTGTGTTGTAACTCGCTAACTTTGTGATGTAGCTAAATTAGGCCCTAGTTTGTGATGTAGCTTGACTGCTTTAGCATGTAGCTAGATGACTTTGTGATGTCGCTAGACTAGGCCCTAGTTTGTGATGTAGCTGGATTGCTTTGTGATGTAGCGAGATTAGGCACTAGTATGTGATGTAGCTGGATTGCTTTGTGATGTAGCTAGATAACTATGTGATGTTGTTAGTTGACTTTGTGATGTAGCTAGATAACTATGTGATGTTGTTAGTTGACTTTGTGATGTAGCTAGATAACTATGTGATGTTGTTAGTTGACTTTGTGATGTAGCTAGATAACTATGTGATGTTGTTAGTTGACTTTGTGATGTAGCTAGATAACTATGTGATGTTGTTAGTTGACTTTGTGATGTAGCTAGATAACTATGTGATGTAGTTAGATGTCTTTGTGATGTAACTAGATAACTATGTGATGTAGTTAGATGACTTTGTGATGTAGCTAGATAACTTTGTGATGTAGCAAGATGACTTTGTGATGTAGCTAGATGACTTTGTGATGTAGCTAGATGACATTTTGACGTAGCTGGGTGACCCCGGGTAGACAGGTTTCTAGCTAACTTCATATAAAGGTCCCGGGTAGACAGGTATCTAGTTAACTTCATAGGAAGGCCCTGGGTAGACAGGTATCTAGTTAACTTCATAGGAAGGCCCTGGGTAGACAGGTATCTAGTTAACTTCATATTAAGGCCCCAGGTAGACAAGTATCTAGTTAACTTCATATGAAGGCCCTGGGTAGACAGGTTTCTAATTAACTTCATATAAAGGCCCCGGGTAGACAGGTATCTAGTTAACTTCATATGAAGGCCCCGGGTAGACAGGTCTCTAGTTAACTTCATATGAAGGCCCTGGGTAGACAGGTTTCTAGTTAATTTCATATAAAGGTCCCGGGTAGACAGGTCTCTAGTTAACTTTATATGAAGGCCCTGGGTAGACAGGTTTCTAGTTAATTTCATAGGAAGGTCCCGGGTAGACAGGTATCTAGTTAACTTCATATGAGGGCCCCGGGTAGACAGGTATCTAGTTAACTTCATATGAAGGCTCCGGGTAGACAGGTATGTAGTAAACTTCATAGGAAGGCCCCGGGTAGACAGGTATCTAGTTAACTTCATATGAAGGCTCGGGTAGACAGGTATGTAGTAAACTTCATAGGAAGGCCTCGGGTTCTCAGGTATCTAGTTAACTTCACAGGAGGGCCCCGGGTTCTCAGGTATCTAGTTAACTTCATATGAAGGCCCCGGGTAGACAGGTATCTAGTTAACTTCACAGGAGGGCCCCGGGTTCTCAGGTATCTAGTTAACTTCATATGAGGGCCCCGGGTAGGCAGTTATCTAGTTCACTTCATATGAAGGCCCCGGGTAGACAGTTATCTAGTTCACTTCATATGAAGGCCCCTGGTAGACAGTTATCTAGTTCACTTCATATGAAGGACCCGGGTAGATTACATGTTTCTATACGCTTGAAGACCCCGGGTACTCAGGTCTGAAAGAGCGTCGAGGGTTCTAAATCTGCGGTTTATGGCCCACCTGGGTGTATCCTATAAAGAACAGCTGGTCGTGGGTAAAGTTAATGCCAGAAATCCTGTACTCCGTAGGTTTGAAGGCCACCTTGTACGCTTTGTACGTGTACTTGATGCCGCTGACGTCGGCAATGTTCCCATCCAGTGTTAGCCTGCCGTTAACCTGGAGGAGATGCGTACTATGGTCAATACATTTATAAGTATAGATATATAGTGTGTACTATGGTCTATACATTTATAAGTATAGATATAAAGTGCATACTATGGTCTATACATTTATAATTATAGATATAAAGTGTGTACTATGGTCTATACATTTATAATTATAGATATAAAGTGCATACTATGGTTTATACATTTATAATTATAGATATAAAGTGTGTACTATGGTCTATACATTTATAAGTATAGATATAAAGTGCATACTATGGTCTATACATTTATAATTATAGATATAAAGTGTGTACTATGGTCTATACATTTATAATTATAAATATAAAGTGTGTACTATGGTCTATACATTTATAATTATAGATATAAAGTGCATACTATGGTCTATACATTTATAATTATAGATATAAAGTGTGTACTATGGTCTATACATTTATAAGTATAGATATAAAGTGCATACTATGGTCTATACATTTATAATTATAGATATAAAGTGTGTACTATGGTTTATACATTTATAAGTATAGATATAAAGTGCATACTATGGTCTATACATTTATAATTATAGATAAAAAGTGTGTACTATGGTTTATACTATTATAATTATAGATATAAAGTGTGTACTATGGTCTATACATTTATAAGTATAGATATAAAGTGTGTACTATGGTCTATACATTTATAATTATAGATATAAAGTGTGTACTATGATCAATACATTTATAAGTATAGATATAAAGTGTGTACTATGGTCTATACATTTATAAGTAAAGATAAGTGCGTACATATTTTTGTGTTTTTCAAAACGTTTTTGTTATTTTTAAATAATTCTATTCTGTACGCAATAAACAATTTTTGACGTTGTTGCTATTAGCCGTCGTAGTTGTTATTAGCCGTCTTAGTGGCTAGTGGCCGTCGTAGTGGCTAGTGGCCGTCGTAGTTGCTAGTGGCCGTCGTAGTTGCTAGTGGCCGTCGTAGTTGCTATTGGCCGTAGTAGTTGCTATTAGCCGACGTAGTGGCTAGTGGCCATCTTAGTTGCAATTAGCCGTCGTAGTGGCTAGTGGCAGTCGTAGTTGCAATTAGCCGTCGTAGTGGCTAGAGGCCGTCGTAGTTGCAATTAGCCGTCGTAGTGGCTAGTGGCCGTCGTAGTTGCTATTAGCCGTCGTAGTTGCTATTAGCCGTCTTAGTGGCTAGAGGCCGTCATAGAGGCTATTGGCCGTTGTATTTGTTGATGGCCGTCGAAGTGGTTAAAGGCTGTCGTAGAGGCTAGCGGCCGTCGTAGTGGCTAGCTGCCGTCGTAGTGGCTAGCGGCCATCGTAGTGGCTATTGTCCGTCGTAGTGGCTAGCTGCCGTCGTAGTGGCTATTGTCCGTCGTAGTGGCTAGCGGCCGTCGTGGTGGCTATTGTCCGTCGTAGTGGCTAGCGGCCGTCGTAGTGGCTAGCGGCCGTCGTAGTGGCTATTGTCCGTCGTAGTGGCTAGCGGCCGTCGTAGTGGCTAGCGGCCGTCGTAGTGGCTATTGTCCGTAGTAGTGGCTAGCTGCCGTCGTAGTGGCTAGCTGCCGTAGTGGCTATTGTCCGTCGTAGTGGCAAGCGGCCATCGTATCGGCTAGTAGCCGTCGTAGTGGCTAACGGCAATCGTAGTGGCTAGCAGCCGTCGTAGTGGCTATCTGCCGTCGTAGTGGCTAGCGGCAATCGTAGTGACTAGCGGCCGTCTAGTCGTCCAATAGAACCTTTCCGCCCTTGGGGCCCGTTAAGTAACTACGACCCTGATTGCACTCATAAGTAGAGCGCAAACTTCGTTCCTTCCTGTCACCTGGAACTTGTCATACTGCTCGACCAGGCAGGCGGTGCGCTCGGCGAATCTCTCGTGGATGTCAGGTGATAAGAGTTGGTAGTACTCGCCATCCTGGTCATACATCACTCTTGTGGTATCGAAGCCGCGAAGGAACTCTCGACCTAGTATCGATCCCACTGAACCATACGCATGCGCCCTGTGGAAAAGACAAGTTGAACAAATGACGTAACAAATAGGACTGACAAGTTGAGGCAGTCACATAGAAAATAGGACTGACAAGTTGAGGCAGTCACATAGAAAATAGGACTGACAAGTTGAGGCAGTCACATAGAAAATAGGACTGACAAGTTGAGGTAGTCACATAGAAAATAGGATTGACAAGTTTATTCAGCGACGTAGCTAATATTTATTGTCTCTCTCTCTCTCTCTCTCTCTCTCACACTCTCTCTCCCTCTCTCACTCTCTCTCATTATCTCTCCCTCTCAGTTGATTCAGTGACGTAGCTAATATTTATTCTTTCTTTCTCTCTCTCTCTCTCTCCTCTCTCTCTCATATATATATATTTCCCTTTCTCTCTCAATTTTTTTTTCTCTCTCTCTATCACACTCTTTTATTCTCTCTCTCTCAAGCCGTCTCTCTTTGTCCCCATCCCACTAACTCATTCTCCCCACTCTCTCTCCCTCCCCTTTCTCTCCTCCACACCCCCCTCTCGTTAACTCACTCTGAGACAGATGGCACATATAGTGGTGCCCGAAACAAGCCAGCCGGTACAGTGATCCCCCCTCTCGTTAACTCACTCTGAGACAGATGGCACATATAGTGGTGCCCGAAACAAGCCAGCCGGTACAGTGATCCCCCCTCTCGTTAACTCACTCTGAGACAGATGGCACATATAGTGGGGCCCGAAACAAGCCAGCCGGTACAGTGATCCCCCCTCTCGTTAACTCACTCTCAGACAGATGGCACATATAGTGGGGCCCGAAACAAGCCAGCCGGTACAGTGATCCCCCATCTCGTTAACTCACTCTGAGACAGATGGCACATATAGTGGGGCCCGAAACAAGCCAGCCGGTACAGTGATCCCCCATCTCGCTAACTCACTCTGAGACAGATGGCACATATAGTGGTGCCCGAAACAAGCCAGCCGGTACAGTGATCCCCCATCTCGTTAACTCACTCTGAGACAGATGGCACATATAGTGGTGCCCGAAACAAGCTAGCCGGTACAGTGATCCCCCCTCTCGTTAACTCACTCTGAGACAGATGGCACATAGAGTGGTGCCCGAAACAAGCCAGCCGGTACAGTGATTCCGTTCATATGAGTATCATAGACGGCCTTGACCCCGTAGGGGCTGACATCCATGTCCCATCTGTGAATACAACGTTAAAAACTTTTAACATGTCTCTGGATAATTGATGGCCATACAGTCTCACTTGTAACTAAGTTGTCGATGGTCATACAGTCTCACTTAGAACTAAGTTGTCGATGGTCATACAGTCTCACTTGTAACTAAGTTGTCGATGGTCATACAGGCTCACTTGTACTAAGTTGTCGATGGCCATACAGTCTCACTTGTAACTAAGTTGTCGATGGTCATACAGTCTCACGTGTAACTAAGTTGTCGATGGCCATACAGTCTCACTTTTAACTAAGTCGTCGAAGGCCATACAGTCTCACTTGTAACTAAGTTGTCGATGGTCATACAGTCTCACTTGTAACTAAGTTGTCGATGGCCATGCAGTCTCACTTGTAACTAAGTCGTCGATGGCCATACAGTCTCACTTGTAAGTAAGTCGTCAAAGGCCATACAGTCTCACTTGTAACTAAGTTGTCGATGGCCATACAGTCTCACTTGTAACTAAGTTGTCGATGGCAATACAGTCTCACTTGTAACTAAGTCGTCGAAGGCCATACAGTCTCACTTGTAACTAAGTCGTCGAAGGTCATACAGTCTCACTTGTAACTAATTCGTTGATGGCCATACAGTCTCACTTGTAACTAAGTCGTAGAAGGCCATACAGTCTCAATTGTATCTAAGTTGTCGATGGCCATACAGTCTCACTCTTAACTAAGTTGTCGATGACCATACAGTCTCACTTGTAACTAAGTTGTCGATGGCCATACTGTCTCACTTGTAACTAAGTTGTCGATGGCCATACAGTCTCACGTGTAACTAAGTTGTCGATGGTCATACAGTCTCACTTGTAACTAAGTTGTCGATGGTCATACAGTCTCACTTGTAACTAAGTTGTCGATGGCCATACAGGCTCACTTGTAACTAAGTTGTCGATGGCCATACAGTCTCACTTGTAACTAAGTTGTTGATGGTCATACAGTCTCACGTGTAACTAAGTTGTCGATGGCCATACAGTCTCACTTGTAACTAAGTTGTTGATGGCCATACAGTCTCACTTGTAACTAAGTTGTCGATGGCCATACAGTCTCACTTATAACTAACTTGTCGATGGTCATACAGTCTCACTTGTAACTAAGTTGTCGATGGCCATACAGTCTCACGTGTAATAAACTGTTTGGCTGATCTCACTGACCGAAAGAAAAGGGATGGGATTTTAATTTTTTCTTTAATGGGGAAAAAAAGGGGGGGGGGTTGTGTTGGAGTGATGTATTCGTAGAACCGGTTTATGGTGAATTCAGACACGTTGGTCATACAGTCTCACTTGTAACTAAGTTGTCGATGGTCATACAGGCTCACTTGTACTAAGTTGTCTATGGCCATACAGTCTCACCTTTAACTAAGTTGTCGATGGTCATACAGTCTCACTTGTAACTAAGTTGTCGATGGTCATACAGTCTCACTTGTAACTAAGTTGTCGATGGCCATACAGTCTCACTTGTTACTAAGTTGTCGAATGGTCATACAGTCTCACTTGTAACTAAGTTGTCGATGGCCATACAGTCTCACTTGTAACTAAGTTGTCGATGGCCATACAGTCTCACTTGTAACTAAGTTGTCGATGGTCATACAGTCTCACTTGTAACTAAGTCGTCGATGGCCATACAGTCTCACTTGTAACTAAGTCGTCGATGGCCATACAGTCTCACTTGTAACTAAGTCGTCGAAGGCCATACAGTCTCACTTGTAAATAAGTTGTCGATGGTCATACAATCTCACTTGTAACTAAGTTGTCGATGGTCATACAGTCTCACTTGTAACTAAGTTGTCGATGGTTATAGTCTCACTTGTAACTAAGTCGTCGATGGCCGTACAGTCTCACTTGTAACTAAGTTGTCGATGGTCATACAGTCTCACTTGTAACTAAGTCGTCGAATGCCATACAGCCTCACTTGTAACTAAGTTGTCGATGGTCATACAGTCTCACTTGTAACTAAGTCGTCGATGGCCATACAGTCTCACTTGTAACTTAGTCGTCGATGGCCATACATTCTCACTTGTAACTAAGTCGTCGAAGGCCATACAGTCTCACTTGTAACTAAGTTGTCGATGGTCATACAGTCTCACTTGTAACTAAGTTGTCGATGGCCATACATTCTCACTTGTAACTAAGTTGTCGATGGTCATACAGTCTCACTTGTAACTAAGTTGTCGATGGTCATACAGTCTCACTTGTAACTAAGTTGTCGATGGTCATACAGTCTCACGTGTAATTAACTGTTTGGCTGATCTCACTGACCGAAAGAAAAGGGATGGGATTTTAATTCTTTCTTTAATGGGAAAAAAAAGGGGGGGGGGGTTGTGTTGGAGTGATGTATTCGTAGAACCGGTTTATGGTGAATTCAGACACGTTGGGGGCGTCATTGCACATAAAAGACCTTCAGTGCCATTACTTCAGGGCATTACAACCAATTGATGGCATAACATGGATCTCAATAAATAAGGGAGGTCTGGCTTCTGAATGCCTGCCTTCTAAATGTCTGTCTTCTGAAGGTTTGCCTTCTATTTGTCTATGTCCGCGGCATAGTGGGAGAATCGTCGGCCTCTTAAGTGTCTATCATGTAAGTCCTTTAAAGAGTGGATTGAATGCATGATTTCTGAATGTCTGCCTTTCGAATGACTACCTTCTGAACAACGAGAAGATGCTAAAATTCGCTCGGTTAAGTTGGTCAGAGTCGTTGCTTAGCGGACTTGTAACAGCCGGGGCTTTGTGGACTTTTCACAGTCGGTGCTTTGCGGAATTGTCACAGTCGGTGCTTTGTGGATGTGTCACAGACGCTGCTTTGCAGACTTGTCACAGTCGGTGCTTTGTGGATATGTCATAGATGCTGCTTTGCGGACTTGTCTCAGTCGGTGCTTTGTGGATATGTCATAGATGCTGCTTTGCGGACCTGTCACAGTCGGTGCTTTGTGGATGTGTCATAGACGCTGCTTTTGTGGACCTGTCTCAGTCGGTGCTTTGTGGATGTGTCACGGACGCTGCTTTGCGGACCTGTCACAGTACGTGCTTCTGGATGTGTCACAGACGCTGCTTTGCGGACTTGTCACAGTCGGTGCTTTGTGGATGTGTCATAGATGCTGCTTTGCGGACCTGTCACAGTCGGTGCTTTGTGGATGTGTCATAGACGCTGCTTTGTGGACTTGTAACAGTCGGTGCTTTGCGGACTTGTCACAGTCGGTGCTTTGTGGATGTGTCACAGAAGTTGCTTGGAGGACCTGTCAGAGTCAGTGCTTTGTGTGTCATAGACGCTGCTTTGTGGACCTGTCACAGTCGTGCTTTGTGGATGTGTCATAGACGCTGCTTTGTGGACCTGTCACAGTCGTGCTTTGTGGATGTGTCATAGACGCCGCTTTGTGGACCTGTCACAGTCTTGCTTTGTGGATGTGTCATGGACGCTGCTTTGTGGACCTGTCACAGTCGTGCTCTGTGGACAGTCGTGCTTTGTGGATGTGTCATAGACGCCGCTTTGTGGACCTGTCACAGTCTTGCTTTGTGGATGTGTCATGGACGCTGCTTTGTGGACCTGTCACAGTCGTGCTTTGTGGATGTGTCATAGACGCTGCTTTGTGGACCTGTCACAGTCGTGCTTTGTGGATGTGTCATAGACGCTGCTTTGTGGACCTGTCACAGTCGTGCTTTGTGGATGTGTCATAGACGCTGCTTTTCACAGTAGGTAATTGGTGGATGGGGAACAGTCGGTTTTTTGCGGACCTGTCACCGTCGGTTCTTTGCGAACTTTTCGCAGTCGGTGCTTTGCGGACTTGTCACAGTCGGTGCTTTGCGGACTTGTCACAGTCGGTGCTTTTTGGATGTGTCATAGAAGTTGCTTTGCGGACCTGTTACAGTTGGTGCTTTGTGGATGTGTCACAGTCGGTGCTTTGTGGACCTGTCACAGTCGGTTTTTGCGGACCCTGTCACAGTCTGTTCTTTGCGGACTTGTCACAGTCGGTGTTTTGCAGACAGTTAATGTGCACTCACCGGGGATTACCACCTTGGTTACCTTCGCATGCCAAGTACAAACAATGTGACATATCCTCCTAACTAAACGTTTTTTACCCTCTCAATGACTTGCTCTATTATGTGGACAACCTGAATAAGAAAAGGCTTGCTCTAATCTGTGGACAACCTGAATAAGAAAATACTTACTCTGATATGTGGACAGCCTGAATAAGAAAAGGCTTGCTCTAATCTGTGGACAGCCTGAATAAGAAAAGGCTTGCTCTAATCTGTGGACAGCCTGAATAAGAAAAGGGTTGCTCTAATATGTGGACAACCTGAATAAGAAAAGACTTACTCTAATCTGTGGACAGCCTGAATAAAAAAGACTTACTCTAATCTGTGGACAGCCTGAATAAGAAAAGGCTTGCTCTAATCTGTGGACACCCTGAATAAGAAAAGGGTTGCTCTAATCTGTGGACAGCCTGGATAAGAAACGGCTTGCTCTAATCTGTGGACAGCCTGAATGAGAAAAGACTTGCTCTAATCTGTGGACAGCCTGAATAAGAAAAGGGTTGCTCTAATCTGTGAACCACCTGAACAAGGAGAGACTTGCTCTGATCTGTGGACCACCTGAACAAGGCCCAGACTTACTCTGATCTGTGGACCACCTGAACAAGGCCTAGACTTACTCTGATCTGTGGACCACCTGAATAAGGCCCAGACTTACTCTGATTTGTGGACCACCTGAACAAGGAAAGACTTACTCTGATCTGTCGACTGGTTTCGAGTACCTCTGCATCTTGTGTTGTTTCAGCGCCGTCCTGGCCGATACGTAGTTGTAGAGATATTCACTCTTCTGGATGTTAAACTGTTTGTAGAATTGATCCAGTTTGATCGGATCCAGTATCCAGTCCGGGTAGCCCAGATTGGCGGTCATTATTTCAGCCTTTCTGGACACTTTAGTGCGCGAGTCGTTGTCCAGCCATTCTTGTTTTTTCAAGCCATCCATAAACTGCTTCTTGATTTCCTTCAAGAAGTTCATAACCTGATGGTAGAGTAGAGTATTGGTTACATGACCTGATGGTAGAGTAGAGTATTGGTTACATGACCTGATGGTAGAGTAGAGTATTGGTTACATGAACTGATGGTAGAGTAGAGTATTGGTTACATGAACTGATGGTAGAGTAGAGTATTGGTTACATGACCTGATGGTAGAGTAGAATATTGGTTACATGACCTGATGGTAGAGTAGAGTATTGATTACATGACCTGATGGTAGAGTAGATCATTGGTTACATGGCCTGATGGTAGAGTAGAGCATTGGTTACATGACCTGATGGGAGAGTAGAGCATTGGTTACATGGTCTGATGGTAGAGTATTGGTTACATGACCTGATTGTTGAGTAGAGTATTGGTTACATGACCTGATAGTAGAGTAGAGCATTGGTTACATGACCTAATGGTAGAGTAGAGCATTGGTTACATGGCCTGAAGGTAGAGTAGAGCATTGGTTACTTGGTCTAATGGTAGAGTATTGGTTACATGACCTGATGGTAGAGTAGAGTATGGGTTACATGACCTGATGGTAGAGTAGAGCATGGTTACATGGCCTAATGGTAGAGTATAGTATTGGTTACATGACCTGATGGTAGAGTATTGGTTACATGACCTGAAAGTAGAGTAGATTATGGGTTACATGACCTGATGGTAGAGTAGAGCATGGTTACATGGCCTATTGGTCGAGTAGAGTATTGTTGCATGACCTGATGGTAGAGTATAGTATTGGTTACATGACCTGATGGTAGAGTATTGGTTACATGACCTGATGGTAGAGTGGAGCATTGGTTACATGACCCGGTGGTAGAGTAGAGTATTGGTTACATGACCTGATGGTAGAGTAGAATATTGGTTAACTGACACATGTTACTTGTCTTGGATAGCTACATGACGAACTGCCTACCAATAAGGTACTGCCTACCAATCACGTACTGCCTACCAATTACGTACTGCCAACAAATCACATACTGCTTACAAATGACGTACAGCCTACAAATGCCGTTAAGCCTACCAATGACGTATAGCCTACCAATGACGTATAGCCTACCAATGACGTACCTTCTCTTTAAGTTCAGGCCTAACATTTTCCTTAACGTACAGAGCACCAAGAGCCAAGCCAAAGACTTGTTCTGTTTGGGCGAAGCACCTCTCCTTCACAGGGGCAAGGGAGCTTACACGGTCGCCACGAGTTATCGTCGGCAACAGCGGTTGGATGAAATATTCGGACAGGTATTCAAGGTGTTGTGTTATCATGTGCCAAATAAGGTAGTTGGCGAGAACTCTGAATGAATTCAATCAACAAGTGTTACAATGATTATGACAGTGAGGTAGTTGGCGAGAACTCTGAGTGAACTCAACCAACAGGTGTTACAATGATGATGGCAGTGAGGTAGTTGGCGAGAACTCTGAATGAATTCAACCAACAAGTGTTACAGTAAAGATACCAAATTAAGTATCGTCTTAAACACATGCAGTCCTAAAGTCTGAGGTCTAAAGCCTTAAGTCTATGGCAAGCCTGCACAACTCAAAATGTAAGGTGGGCCGTAATAGTAAAGATAGAATGTGATCTTAGGTATCATTGATTGTAAGGATGGGATACGATCTTAGGTATCTGTGATTATAAGAATGGGATGTGATCTTAGGTATCTGTGATTATAAGAATGGGATGTGATCTTAGGTATCTGTGATTATAAGAATGGGATGTGATCGTAGGTATCTGTGATTATAAGAATGGGATGTGATCTTAGGTATCTGTGATTATGAGGATGGGATTTGATCTTAGGTATCTGTGATTATGAGGATGGGATTTGATCTTAGGTAACTGTGATTATAAGGATGGGATGAATGCTTAGGTATCTGTCATTGTGAGGATGGGATGTATGCTTAGGTATCTGTCATTGTGAGGATGGGATGTATGCTTAGGTATCTGTGATTGTAAGGATGGGATGAATGCTTAGGTATCTGTCATTATGAGGATGGGATGTATGCTTAGGTATCTGTGATTGTAAGGATGGGATGAATGCTTAGGTATCTGTCATTGTGAGAATGGGATGAATGCTTAACAAACAAAAAAACAGAATTAAAATGTATTGCATGTAGCCAATGATAAGGAAAGAATTACTCTTTCTCCGTCCCAGCGACAAGTTTTTGTAATGACGCATAGAAGACGGTAGGCCCCGCCACAATCTCAGTCTCTGCGGTAAATTGTTTGGTACCACCAACAAGCTCCTTCAGGTACGCCTTCAAATCAATCTGAGATATTTATTGAGAGCTATTTATAGATTTGCAGAAACAGTTCTAGACCATCGTAACTCAACCTCACCTCAGAGAGATCTGATAAATATGACAAGTTGAACACAACACTTCACTCAAGTTGAAAACAATAGTCACGTCACTCGATTTGAACACAACACTCAGGTCACTCGATATGAACACAACACTCATTTCACTTGAGTTGAACACAATACTCACTTCACTGAAGTTGAGCACAACACTCACTTTTCTCGATTTGAACACAACACTCACTTCACTCGATTTGAACACAACACACACTTCACTCAAGTTTAACACAACACTCACTCACTTAACTTCGTAAATTTTCCCAAACCTTTTTCAAACAATGAATGTGTCAGTTCAAGTGATGTAGCTGCATATGGGGCTTAATTTTCAGTAAAGAAACTTTTAAAACTTATCATAGACTCATTCATATAATTTCATCTTGTGCACCTACTAGCTATTATATCATTGTGTTCATGTGCTTTCATCTTGTGCACCATCTAGCTATCATATCATTGTGTTCATGTGCTTTCATCTTGTGCACCATCTAGCGATCATATCATTGTGTTCATGTGCTTTCATCTTGTGCACCATCTAGCTATTATGTCATTCTGTTCATATGCTTTCATCTTGTGCACCATCTAGCTATCATATCATTGTGTTCATGTGATTTCATCTTGTGCACCGACTAGCTATCATATCATTGTGTTCATGTGCTTTCATCTTGTGCACCATCTAGCTATTATGTCATTCTGTTCATATGCTTTCATCACGTGCACCATCTAGCTATCATATTATTGTGTTCATGTGATTTCATCTTGTGCACCGACTAGCTATCATATCATTGTGTTCATATGCTTTCATCGTGTGCACCATCTAGCTATTGTGTTCATATGCTTTCATCGTGTGCACCATCTAGCTATTGTGTCATTCTGTTCATATGCTTTCATCACGTGCACCATCTAGCTATTATATTGTTGTGTTCATATGCTTTCATCTTGTGCGCCATTTTTATTGTTTTAATATAGTTTCATATTACGCCCACACCGAATAAGACGTATGAACACAATGTTCAACTAAGCAGTCGTTCATTCTTGAGGACTCTACCATCAACACCATACCATTGACCCTAAGGACAATGTTCAACTAAGCAGGCGTTCATTCTTGAGGACTCTACCATCAACACCATACCATTGACCCTAAGGACATTGTTCAACTAAGCAGTCGTTCATTCTTGAGGACTCTACCATCAACACCATACCATTGACCCTGAGGACAATGTTCAACTATGCAGTCGTTCATTCTTGAGGACTCTACCATCAACACCATACCATTGACCCTAAGGACAATGTTCAACTAAGCAGGCGTTCATTCTTGAGGACTCTACCATCAACACCATACCATTGACCCTGAGGACAATGTTCAACTAAGCAGTCGTTCATTCTTGAGGACTCTACCATCAACACCATACCATTGAGCCTAAGGTGTCCTGTAATTTATCCAAGGTGGTGGCTGTCAAGTTCTCTGTCAGGCTGGGTGGGTTGGTCATTGTATTTTGTTTTCTAGTTAACTGGTGGGGGAAACAAGCAAACAAAAAACTAACATGATATGCTACACAAACGTCATAAAATGGGATGGCCATTGCTTATAAAGAGGCAGCTAGCACGTAGCGATGGGTGCCGGAAATTAGATCGAAAAAAATTTCGTCGAAGGAAAATTGATCGTCGGAAATTTGGTCGAATCTTTTGTTCATTTCACATGTTAAAATTTTCGTCAAATTTCTTTTTGAACGCACTATACTATTTAGTAAAACAGTAAAATGCGTGAACTGAAAAATGATTCGAACAAGTCTCGTACGATCAAATTTTCTTCGATCCATTTTCCGTCGACAAACTTTCTTTCGATCAAATTTCCGAATACGCGTAGCGATAGGGAGCACCTTTCAACTTAAACCAATCCAGTGGAACCTCTCATAACGATAGGGAGCACCTTTCAACTTAAACCAATACAGTGGATCCTCTCATAACGATAGGGAGCACCTTTCAACTTAAACCAATACAGTGGATCCTCTCATAACGATAGGGAGCACCTTTCAACTTAAACCAATACAGTGGATCCTCTCATAACGATAGGGAGCACCTTTCAACTTAAACCAATACAGTGGAACCTCTCATAACGATAGGGAGCACCTTTCAACTTAAACCAATACAGTGGAACCTCTCATAACGATAGGGAGCACCTTTAAACTTAAACCAATACAGTGGAACCTCTCATAACGATAGGGAGCACCTTTCAACTTAAACCAATACAGTGGAACCTCTCATAACGATAGGGAGCACCTTTAAACTTAAACCAATCCAGTGGAACCTCTCATAACGATAGGGAGCACCTTTCAACTTAAACCAATACAGTGGAACCTCTCATAACGATAGGGAGCACCTTTAAACTTAAACCAATACAGTGGAACCTCTCATAACGATAGGGAGCACCTTTCAACTTAAACCAATACAGTGGAACCTCTCATAACGATAGGGAGCACCTTTAAACTTAAACCAATCCAGTGGAACCTCTCATAACGATAGGGAGCACCTTTCAACTTTAACCAATACAGTGGAACCTCTCATAACGATAGGGAGCACCTTTCAACTTAAACCAATACAGTGGAACCTCTCATAACGATAGGGAGCACCTTTAAACTTAAACCAATACAGTGGAACCTCTCATAACGATAGGGAACACCTTTCAACTTAAACCAATACAGTGGAACCTCTCATAACGATAGGGAGCACCTTTAAACTTAAACCAATACAGTGGAACCTCTCATAACGATAGGGAGCACCTTTCAACTTTAACCAATCCAGTGGAACCTCTCATAACGATAGGGAGCACCTTTCAACTTTAACCAATCCAGTGGAACCTCTCATAACGATAGGGAGCACCTTTAAACTTAAACCAATACAGTGGAACCTCTCATAACGATAGGGAGCACCTTTCAACTTAAACCAATACAGTGGAACCTCTCATAACGATAGGGAGCACCTTTAAACTTAAACCAATCCAGTGGAACCTCTCATAACGATAGCGAGCACCTTTAAACTTAAACCAATCCAGTGGAACCTCTCATAACGATAGGGAGCACCTTTCAACTTAAACCAATCCAGTGGAACCTCTCATAACGATAGGGAGCACCTTTAAACTTAAACCAATCCAGTGGAACCTCTCATAACGATAGCGAGCACCTTTAAACTTAAACCAATCCAGTGGAACCTCTCATAACGATAGGGAGCACCTTTCATTTTAAACCAATCCAGTGGAACCTCTCATAACGATAGGGAGCACCTTTAAACTTAAACCAATACAGTGGAACCTCTCATAACGATAGAGAGTACCTTTCAACTTAAACCAATCCAGTGGAACCTCTCATAGCGATAGGGAGCACCTTTCAACTTAAACGAATCCAGTGGAACCTGTCATAACGATAGGGAGCACCTTTCAACTTAAACCAATACAGTGGATCCTCTCATAACGATAGGGAGCACCTTTCAACTTAAACCAATACAGTGGATCCTCTCATAACGATAGGGAGCACCTTTCAACTTAAACCAATACAGTGGATCCTCTCATAACGATAGGGAGCACCTTTCAACTTAAACCAATACAGTGGATCCTCTCATAACGATAGGGAGCACCTTTCAACTTAAACCAATACAGTGGAACCTCTCATAACGATAAGGAGCACCTTTAAACTTAAACCAATCCAGTGGAACCTCTCATAACGATAGGGAGCACCTTTAAACTTAAACCAATCCAGTGGAACCTCTCATAACGATAGGGAGCACCTTTCAACTTAAACCAATCCAGTGGAACCTCTCATAACGAGTTCCATTCGTTCCAGACTCTTACTCGTTAAACGAAACCATATTTTCCATACAAATCAATGTAAAATACGATAATGCGTTCCATGCTGAAAAAATACTAATTTTTCAAAAAAATGTTTTTAACATTTCTTCCAATAAAATTAAAATGACTTATGAATTGGTAAGGAGTGTAACAACTTGGAATACAATTGAGATTGGAAACACAAAACGTCAATAAAAATATGAATTTATGACAAATAATAAATCCTTTTTAACTAGAAAACTGTCTAAAGACATTTGTTTTAGCCGACGCTTCAAAATTTGACGAAAATGTGTCATAGCATTAGCATTGAATAAATGTGTAGCACGAATAGCCACCTCCTTATTAGGGAGATGCTTCTCGATGTACGATGCAACAGTTTCCTTTTGAAGCATCCATCTTCTTAATTGTGTTTTTGTTCTTGAGAACAGTGCAGCTCGTTGATGTTGACCGATTGTATGTGCGCGCTAGATTAGCCACGCTCACACCTTGTTCTCGCTTTTCAATGATTTGACGTTTCATTTCAACAGTTATTTTTTCTCTCTTATGATTGTCTTCTTGTGTTTTTTCTTCGAAGACATTTTAGCACAGGTTATTAAACTTTGCACATTAAAAAAAATTAAGAATACTGTCTGAATACAAATTTTGTAAAAACTGGTGATCACACACGAAAACAATACACTAACAGCCCGGAAGTCCCGGCTCACAAATGAATGTCAGGAAAAAGGGACTTCCCCTTTCTGCGTAACTCGTTATGCGAAATATCGCTCGTTAAGGGAGCATCTTCTTCACATTTTTGTTTGCTCTTTATGCGAATTACTCGTAATGAGAGGTTCCACTGTATATGTGTATGTGTGTTTATATGTTTGTTTGTGATTTTGTGTGCGTGTTTGTGTGGGTGTGTGCTTGTCTGTGTGTGCTTGTGTGTGTGTGTAAACTAATACCTCGTAAAGTTGTTTTTCGAATTCGTACAGGGCCTCAATTTTCCCTCTGTCTACATCGTCATCGCCTGAGAAGGTCTGGACCGTGTTCACAGTGGCGGCCACAAGGGTGTCGATGCCAGCTTGGCTCTCCAACAGCTCATCCTTGGCCGAGTAGCGTGCTGGTAGGAGCTAGATGGAATACAATGATAGCATAGCTAGATGGAATGATAAAAGAGCTAGATTGAATTATATAAGAGCTAGATTGTATAATATAAGAGCTAGATTGAATGATATAAGAGCTAGATTGAATGACAAAAGAGCTAGATTGAATGATATAAGAGCTAAATTGAATGACAAAAGAGCTAGATTGAATGATATAAGAGCTCGATTGAATGATATAGGAGCTAGATTGAATGATATAAGAGCTAAATTGAATGATATAAGAGCTAGATTGAATGATATAGGAGCTAGATTGAATGATAAAAGAGCTAGACAGAATGATATAAGGGCTAGATTGAATGATATAGGAGCTAGATTGAATGATATAAGAGCTAAATTGAATGACAAAAGAGCTAGATTGAATGATATAAGAGCTAGATTGAATGATATAAGAGCTCGATTGAATGATATAGGAGCTAGATTGAATGATATAAGAGCTAAATTGAATGATATAAGAGCTAGATTGAATGATATAGGAGCTAGATTGAATGATAAAAGAGCTAGACAGAATGATATAAGGGCTAGATTGAATGATATAGGAGCTAGATTGAATGATATAAGAGCTAAATTGAATGATATAAGAGCTAGATTGAATGATATAGGAGCGAGATTGAATGATATAAGAGCTAAATTGAATTATATAAAAGCTAGATTGAATGATATAAGAGCTAGATTGAATGTTATAAGAGCTAGATTGTATGATAAAAGAGCTATATTGAATGTTATAAGAGCTACATTGTATGATAAAAGAGCTAGAATGAATACAATGATAAAAGAGCTAGATTGAATGACAAAAGAGCTAGATTGAATGATATAAGAGCTAGATTGAATGATATAAGAGCTAGATTGAATGATATAAGAGCTAGATTGAATGATATAAGAGCTAGATTGAATGATATAAGAGCTAGATTGAATGATATAAGAGCTAGATTGAATGATATAAGAGCTAGATTGTATGATAAAAGAGCTAGATTGAATGATATAAGAGCTAGATTGTATAATATAAGAGCTAGAATGAATGATATAAGAGCTAGATTGAATGATATAAGAGCTAGATTGAATGATATAAGAGCTAGATTGAATGATATAAGAGCTAGATTGAATGATATAAGAGCTAGATTGAATGATATAAGAGCTAGATTGAATGATATAAGAGCTAGATCGAATGATATAAGAGCTAGATTGAATGATATAAGAGCTAGATTGAATACAATGATAGAGTAGCTAGAGTGAATACAATGATTTTAGTGATGAGTGTTTGTTAGTGATGATTGCTTGTTAGAATGAGTGCTTGTAAGTGATGATTGCTTGTCAGTGATGATTGCTTATTGGTGATGATTGCTTATCAGTGATGATTGCTTGTCAGTGATAATTGCTTGTTGGTGATGATTGCTTGTCGGTGATGATTGCTTGTTAGTGATGATTGCTTGTTGGTGATGATTGCCTGTTAGTGATGATTGCTTGTCAGTAATGATTGCTTGTTGGTGATGATTGCTTGTCAGTGATGATTGCTTGTTAGTGATGAGCTTCGGTTCATGCTGAGTTCCTCTTCGACACGCCACTTGATTCCTTACTTACCATTACAATATATCTGTCGGTGTCCCTGATGTTTGGCCTTACGACTGTGTCAAAGAGAACACCTGTGTCCAGCTTGTGCATCTTGACCAGGGACGCCTGCAGAGACCAGGTACTGGAGTTCCATGGATTTATCCCATGTGTCGTTAGGTTCCAAGAACCATTGTCGTTGATCAGCTTATAAAATCCGAGTAGAAAATAGGAAAGTTTTGTGTATAATAATTGCTTAGGTATTTTGGTGATTTTACACCGTATATGTTATGTGTATTATGTGTGCATACACCGTTATGGGGGCCGGATGTTGTTGTGCAGCAGCAAATGAATGAATAAAACATGGCGGCTGTCTCTTGCTTTTGACAACCAAGGCTTTCAATTATTATCCCTAATATAGGCCCTACTACAAGATAGCCTTGTACAAGATACATATGATACTCCCTGAGTTATCCAGGTGCGTGGGGGAAGATGCGATTTACTATCTAGGGAATCAGATTATCCTCCTAAAGACAAAATCCCAGGCCTGGTGATTCCGTCCTGCGAAGTCTACACCATCGTCAAATTGTGACGGACGGATGCCAGATACAAGACAGCCTGGACAGCCACCGGCTTAATATACTAGGAAAGTATTGAGTGACATTGTGACGGACGGATGCCAGATACAAGACAGCCTGGACAGCCACCGGCTTAATATACTAGGAAAGTATTGAAGTCACATTGTGACGGACGGATGCCAGATACAAGACAGCCTGAACATACTTGAAAAGTGTCGACATTCAAACTCAATGTCAAGGTCAATGTTTCTCTCTTGCTTACCAGGAGATCCTAGCCGATGTATTTAGGCTAAGATAAGGACTGACCAGGAAATTCTAGCCGATGTGTTTAGGCTAAGATAAGGACATACCGGGAGATCCTAGCCGATGTGTTTAGGCTAAGATAAGGACTTACCAGGAGATCCTAGCCGATGTATTTAGGCTAAGATAAGGACATACCGGGAGATCCTAGCCGATGTATTTAGGCTTAGGACTTACCAGGAGAACATAGTCGATGCACTGGACACTGCTTGAAATAGTGATGGACGGGTTACCTACCCTTTGTAATTTGGACAAACTTTGGTTCCGTATCTTGAACCGGTCCATGCAGCTTTCGTAGTACGTTTTCGCCTTGGCCAGTGCGCTGGACACCTGGCCCTCGATCTTGGTGTCTGTGCTTTCCAGGAGCTGAAGTTAAAATGTTGTACTTGTAGACATTAGACATTATGTGTACGCTAGATTGACCGTCTCATCTTCAACGGAATCGTTTGTTATTGGCATTATTCCTTTCATCAAGGATTTCTGGAAACGATCAGTTTTAAACAAAGACCATGCTCACGTCATCAGCAGACGAGAACCCGTCACATGCCGACCTGTGGGGACCACTGCCCCACTCATCAGGTCTTAGCCGGTCTCTTTTGTTTAACCTCGCTCCTGTGTTGTTCCCCCCCCCTCAGCCTATTTTGTGAGTGAGCGTATTTGGCGTGGAGGTTAATTGTGTAGCGGTTGCTATATTCCCCCCCCCCCCTCTCACATGCCGATCTGTGGGGACCACTGCCCCACTCATCAGATCTTAGCCGGTCTCTTTTGTTTAACCTCGCTCCTATGCCCCTCCCCCCGGCCACATGCCGACCTGTGGGGACCACTGCCCCAATCATCAGGTCTTAGCCGGTCTCTTTTGTTTAACCTCGCTCCTGTGTTGTTCCCCCCCCCTCAGCCTATTTTGTGAGTGAGCGTATTTGGCGTGGAGGTTAATTGTGTAGCGGTTGCTATGGAGTTTGGATTGGTGACGTTTTCCGTTCTGATGGATGACGTGTTTGTTGTTAAGGATTAGGGTCTTTACGTTTGACTGAGTGGATGGATTTTTTTTTTTTTTTTTGAGTTAACGAAAGACGAAGAAAGTGGGCTGGGATCGGCCAGAGGGTCTCACTACTGTGTTGTTGATAGTGGCTTGGATCCCTTGGTGTAGAGTGGTGTGGGTATCTGTCTCTGGAGGATTGAATGATCTAAAGAAGAACTTTGCATTCTAGAAACAGTACTGAGCATTAGCTTGCAAAAATCAGTGTGATCCTTGTGCAATGAGAGTGACACTATGTTATAAATAGACCTACGTGATCCTTGTGAGATGAGAGTGACACTAATGTTAAAAATAGACCAACGTGATCATTGTGAGATGAGAGTGACACTATGTTATAAATAGACCTACGTGATCCTTGTGAGATGAGATTGACACTATGTTATAAATAGACCTGCGTGATCTTTGTGAGATGAGAGTGACACTATGTTATAAATCGACTTATGTGATCCTTGTGAGATGAGAGTGACACTATGTTATAAATAGACCTACGTGATCCTTGTGAGATGAGAGTGACACCAAATTATAAATTGACCTACGTGATCCTTGTGAGATGAGAGTAACACTATGTTATAATTTGACCTACGTGATCCTTGTGATATGAGAGTGACACTATGTTATAAATAGACCTACGTGATCCTTGTGAGATGAGAGTGACACTATGTTATAAATTGACCTACGTGATCCTTGTGAGATGAGAGTGACACTATGATATACATTGACCTACGTGATCCTTGTGAGATGAGAGTGACACTATGTTATAAATAGACATTCGTGATCCTTGTGCGATGAGAGTGACACTATGTTATAAATAGACCTACGTGATCTTTGTGAGATGAGAGTGACACTATGTTATAAATTGACCTTCTTTTATCCTTGTGAGATGAGAGTGACACTATGTTATAAATAGACCTACGTGATCCTTGTGAGATGAGAGTGACACCATATTATAAATTGACCTACGTGATCCTTGTGAGATGAGAGTAACACTATGTTATAAATTGACCTTCTTTTATCCTTGTGAGATGAGAGTGACACTATGTTATAAATAGACCCAGAAAACGTTGCCAGAAATCCTGGAAGGGGTCTCGACGATGTCGCCACTAACCTTGTGCAGTTCCTTCTTGATCTGCTTGCTGGTGCCGTCCAGCGTGCTGAAGCTCGTCTCCTCCACACCCAGGATCGCTCTAGAATCATGGTTACCACACGCGTACTCATACATGTCCGTGCATGGGTCTGAGCTCAAGTTCATCTTTCCCAGTATGCTTCCGCTGGTTTCTATGCACTTTTTTGTCACGCAAGGCTGGTCATTTGAATTTTTTTTTAAATATATATATATCAATTGTTTATATAAGTAGAGGAGTGGGGGGGGGGGGGGGTTTTGTTTATGGCAGCGTTTCCCAAACTTTAAAGTTTGGGGGACCGGTGGCCATGTTTTGAAATTGCATCAGGGACCGTTGCCAGGTTTATTAATTACATTTTCTTTTATTCGCCCAAAAATATATAAATATATATATATCAATTGTTTATATAAGTAGAGGAGTGGGGGGGGGGGGGGTTTTGTTTATGGCAGCGTTTCCCAAACTTTAAAGTTTGGCGGACCGGTGGCCATGTTTTGAAATTGCATCAGGGACCGTTGCCAGGTTTATTAATTACATTTTCTTTTATTCGACCAAAAATATTCATGTTGTACGGACCCGCAACGTAAGGGCTGGCGGACCGGCGCCGGTCCGCGGACCACCATTTGAGAAACACTGGTTTAGGGTATCGTTGTCAAGTATCTTTGGGGGCATTGTTGTGTGGTATCGTTCAGACAGAAAATGTATGTGGGTGCAAGATTGAACAGTGTATTTTAATGAAAGTGTGATATTATGTCCAGTTTCTAATGACAAAAAAAGGGAGATAACTTGTATAGTTTCTAATGAGAATGAAAGTGAGCTAGGTATAGCTTCTAATGAGAATGAAAATGAGATAATATGTATAGCTTCTAATGAGAATGAAAATGAGATAATATGTATAGTTTCTAATGAGAAGCAAAGTGAGATAATATGTATAGTTTCTATAAAAATATAAAATGATTTAACATGACCAGGGACGAGTAATTAGGTCGTGACACTTAAGTTGAGTCTTGCTGAAGAAAAGTAAGACATAAGACATGACACTTTAGGTGAGACTTGCTGAAGACAAGTAGGACATGAGACGTGACACTTAAGTTCAGACTTGCTGAAGATAAGTAAGACATGCGACGTGACACTTAAGGTGAGACTTGCTGAAGATAAGTAAGACATGAGACGTGACACTTAAGGTGAGACTTGCTGAAGACAATTAAGACATGAGACATGACACTTAAGGTCAGACTTGCTGAAGATAAATAAGGCATTAGACGTGACACTTTAGGTGAGACTTGCTGAAGATAAGTAAGACATGAGACATGACACTTAAGGTGAGACTTGCTGAAGATAAGTAAGACATGAGACATGACACTTAAGGTGAGACTTGCTGAAGATAAATAAGTCATGAGACGTGACACTTAAGGTGAGACTTGCTGAAGACAAGTAAGACATTAGACGTGACACTTAAGGTGAGGCTTGCTAAAGACAAGTAAGACATGAGACATGACACTTAAGGTGAGACTTGCTGAAGATAAGTATGACATGAGACAGGACACTTAAGGTGAGACTTAGTGAGGAAACGTAAGACGTGAGAATTAATTAAAAGTTGTTTTAGTTTTTGTTTTTTTTTAAAACACAAATCCCCATCCGGCTTACTGGTTGGTAAGCTGCGAGCAAGTCACCCAGGTCTGAGTGGACCAGGAGCAGGAACAGCGAACAGGCCAGTATGGTGAGCAGCTGAAGGATGACGAGAACCAACCAAATGAAATACCCGAAGTTGGTGAGAATGGAACACAGCACGCCACAGAAGGTGCACTCGGGCTCGACGGGTCTCTTGGCTGACGAATGTGGTGGGGCGGTGGCCGGTCCGGGCTTTGCTGGAGCTGGCGCCGGTTTCGAGACTTTAGGAGTCGCCGCGGGCGGAGGTGGGGGTGGTGGTGGTGGAGGGGCGGGTGAGGGTGCCGACACAGGCGAAGCTTCTTTGGCCGGTGAGAATTCGGCGTCCTCGTCAGTCTTCTCCCCCATGGCGATGATTTACACACAAGAGTTCTTCACCTTGAAACGTTACACATGAGAGTTCTTCACCTTGAAAGTTACACACAAGAGTTCTTCACCTTGAAACGTTACACACAAGAGTTCTTCACCTTGAAAGTTACACACGAGAGTTCTTCACCTTGAAACGTTACACACGAGAGTTCTTCACCTTGAAACGTTACACACAAGAGTTCTTCACCTTGAAACGTTACACACAAGAGTTCTTCACCTTGAAACATTACACACAAGAGTTCTTCACCTTGAAACGTTACACACGAGAGTTCTTCACCTTGAAACGTTACACACGAGAGTTCTTCACCTTGAAACGTTACACACAAGAGTTCTTCACCTTGAAACGTTACACACGAGAGTTCTTCACCTTGAAACGTTACACACAAGAGTTCTTCACCTTGAAACGTTACACACAAGAGTTCTTCACCTTGAAACGTTACACACAAGAGTTCTTCACCTTGAAACGTTACACACGAGAGTTCTTCACCTTGAAACGTTACACACAAGAGTTCTTCACCTTGAAACGTTACACACAAGAGTTCTTCACCTTGAAACGTTACACACAAGAGTTCTTCACCTTGAAACGTTACACACAAGAGTTATTCACCTTGAAACGCTACACACAAGAGTTCTTCACCTTGAAACGTTACACATAGAGTTCTTCACCTTGAAACGTTACACACGAGAGTTCTTCACCTTGAAACGTTACACACAAGAGTTATTCACCTTGAAACGTTACACACAAGAGTTCTTCATCTTAATGTAGAATCTGTGGGAACACAAATGTACAGTAATAGTTTGAAAACTATGCCACCCTCTGTTTTAATGCTGGGTTATAAATAAATCGTTCAAGTTTACTGAGAAGTCGCCCTCTTGAAAGACTTATTGGAATGTAACCAGCCAAGTTTTTACCTTGTGTTTTTATTGAATTCTTACATTCTCATGTAGGTAGTAGTCATGTAGGTAGAAATCATGTAGGTAGTAATCATGTGTTTAGTAATTATGTAGGTTGTATCATTTAGTTAATAATCGTGTAGTTAGTCTTAAAGCAGGTAGTATTCAGGTTTTATTAATCATGTAGGTAATAGTTTGGTAGGTTGTAATCATGTAGGTGGTAAACATTTAGGCAGTAATCATGTAGGTAATAATCGTGTAGGTTGTAATCATGTAGTTAGTAATCATTTTGATAGTAATCATTTCGGTAGGAATCATGTAGGTAGTAATCATGTTTTAGTTATCATGTAGGTAATAATCTTGTTGGTTGTAATCATGTTGGTAGTAATCATGCAGGTAGTAATCATGCAGATAGTTATCATGCAGAAAGTAATCATGTAGATAGCAATATTTACATAGTAATATTTGTTACACCACAGATTGCCTAACTATTCTCATTTACATTACTATTAGATTCACCCTTGGAATTTGCATTACTATTAGATTCACCCTTGGAATTTGCATTACTATTAGATTCACCCTTGGAATTTGCATTACTATTAGATTTACTAATAACATTAACATTACTACTAGATTCACTATTGACATTAACATTACTCACTACAATATTGCGATATGACAGGGCAGAAGTCACAAAGACACGGGCATTGGACACCGCAGTGTGAATGGAATTCTCATGCCGTATTTTAGTAAACTGCAACCGCCCGTAATACACGCGAGCCGTACTTTGTAGGTTTAGAACAGTGCAGTCAAGTCTTGGAATGGAAATTCCCTGTTCAAAAATAGATCACCAAGTGTTCGGCTAACGACCAACCAAATGAGTTCACCAATTGTTTGACCATGCACCGAGATAGTGAAACACGGCGCGACAACCTTTGAAGGGAACATTTTTGTTTCAACCAAAAGCTATTTTCAAAATGAATGCCTCTTGTGTTCCTTGCTGTTGAATGCCTCTAGTGTTCCTTCCTGTTGAATGCCTCTAGTGTTCCTTCCTGTTGAATGCCTCTAGTGTTCCTTCCTGTTGAATGCCACTAGTGTTCCTTCCTGTTGAATGCCTCTAGTTATCCTTCCTGTTGAATGCGACTAGTGTTCCTTCCTGTTGAATCACTCTAGTGTTCCTTCCTGTTGAACGCATCTAGTGTTCCTTCCTGTTGAACGCCTCTAGTGTTCCTTCCTTTTGAATGCCTCTAGTGTTCCTTCCTGTTGAACGCCTCTAGTGTTCCTTCCTGTTGAATGCCTCTAGTGTTCCTTCCTGTTGAATGCCTCTAGTGTTCCTTCCTGTTGAATGCCTCTAGTGTTCCTTCCTGTTGAACGCCTCTAGTGTTCCTTCCTGTTGAACGCCTCTAGTGTTCCTTCCTGTTGAATGCCACTAGTGTTCCTACCTGTTGAATGACTCTAGTGTTGATTGCTGCTTTCAGTTGCATTTTTTCGCCCGTCCCCAAATTTATTTAGCCTTGCAGGCACTGGTATAAATATTTCACTTATTTCTCTCAATGGTTGAGACCAGTGGTCGGAAAACTCATGAGACCATTGGTCGGAAAACTCATGAGACCAGTGGTCGGCAAACTCATGAGACCAGTGGTCGGAAAACTCATGAGACCAGTGGTCGGCAAACTCATGAGACCAGTGGTCGGAAACTCATGAAACCAGTGGTCGGAAAACTCATGAGACCAGTGGTCGGCAAACTCATGAGACCAGTGGTCGGAAAACTCATGAAACCAGTGGTCGGCAAACTCATGAGACCAGTGGTCGGAAAACTCATGAGACCAGTGGTCGGAAAACTCATGAGACCAGTGGTCGGAAAACTCATGAGACCAGTGGTCGGCAAACTCATGAGACCAGTCGGAAAACTCATAAGACCAGTGGTCGGAAAACTCATGAGACCAGTGGTCGGCAAACTCATGAGACCAGTCGGAAAACTCATAAGACCAGTGGTCGGAAAACTCATGAGACCAGTGGTCGGCAAACTCATGAGACCAGGGGTCGGAAAACTCATGAGACCAGGGGTCGGAAAACTCATGAGACCAGTGGTGGAAAACTCATGAGACCAGTGGTCGGCAAACTCATGAGACCAGTGGTCGGCAAATTCATGAGACCAGTGGTCGGCAAACTCATGAGACCAGTGGTCGGCAAACTCATGAAACCAGTGGTCGGAAAACTCATGAGACCAGTGGTCGGAAAACTCATGAGACCAGTGGTCGGAAAACTCATGAAACCAGTGGTCGGCAAACTCATGAGACCAGTTGTCGGAAAACTCATGAGACCAGTGGTCGGCAAACTCATGAGACCAGTGGTCGGAAAACTCATGAGACCAGTGGTCGGCAAACTCATGAAGCCAGTGGTCGGAAAACTCATGAAACCAGTGGTCGGCAAACTCATGAAACCAGTGGTCGGCAAACTCACGAGTCAAAGGAGCCAAAAAATCAGCAGCAGGTCGATGAATAAAAATTAAAGAGCCAAGTTTCATTTCAAGAATCATGTTTTTCGGAGTCAAAGGCGATTTGCGACCGACTGGCCATGTAGCAGCACTCAGGTCACTAAAGAGCCAGCCGCATGAAGCTTGCGCGCCGCAATGTGCCGACCACTGGCCTAAACTGAGAAGAATTTCCAGCAATGAGGAGGATTGTTGGCCTAGCTGTTATTAAATCACATATAAGTAGGGACAAGAACCTTAGGGACATGCTTGTTAGAAGCCACCTCCCTACTATCAAAACACATGACAAGAGACTTAGGGACATGCTTGTTAGAAGCCACCTCCCTACTATCAAAACACATGACAAGAGACTTAGGGACATGCTTGTTAGAAGCCACCTCCCTGCTATCAAAACACATGACAAGAGACTTAGGGACATGCTTGTTAGAAGCCACCTCCCTGCTATCAAAACACATGACAAGAGACTTAGGGACATGCTTGTTAGAAGCCACCTCTCTGCTATCAAAACACATGACAAGAGACTTAGGGACATGCTTGTTAGAAGCCACCTCCCTGCTATCAAAACACATGACAAGAGACTTAGGGACATGCTTGTTAGAAGCAACCTCCCTGCTATCAAAACACATGACAAGAGACTTAGGGACATCCTTGTTAGAAGCCACCTCCCTGCTATCAAAACACATGACAAGAGACTTAGGGACATGCTTGTTAGAAGCCACCTCCCTGCTATCAAAACACATGACAAGAGACTTAGGGACATGCTTGTTAGAAGCCACCTCCCTGCTATCAAAACACATGACAAGAGACTTAGGGACATGCTTGTTAGAAGCCACCTCCCTGCTATCAAAACACATGACAAGAGACTTAGGGACATGCTTGTTAGAAGCCACCTCCCTGCTATCAAAACACATGACAAGAGACTTAGGGACATGCTTGTTAGAAGCCACCTCCCTGCTATCAAAACACATGACAAGAGACTTAGGGACATGCTTGTTAGAAGCCACCTCCCTGCTATCAAAACACATGACAAGAGACTTAGGGACATGCTTGTTAGAAGCCACCTCCCTGCTATCAAAACACATGACAAGAGACTTAGGGACATGCTTGTTAGAAGCCACCTCCCTGCTATCAAAACACATGACAAGAGACTTAGGGACATGCTTGTTAGAAGCCACCTCCCTGCTATCAAAACACATGACAAGAGACTTAGGGACATGCTTGTTAGAAGCCACCTCCCTGCTATCAAAACACATGACAAGAGACTTAGGGACATGCTTGTTAGAAGCCACCTCCCTGCTATCAAAACACATGACAAGAGACTTAGGGACATGCTTGTTAGAAGCCACCTCCCTGCTATCAAAACACATGACAAGAGACTTAGGGACATGCTTGTTAGAAGCCACCTCCCTGCTATCAAAACACATGACAAGAGACTTAGGGACATGCTTGTTAGAAGCCACCTCCCTGCTATCAAAACACATGACAAGAGACTTAGGGACATGCTTGTTAGAAGCCACCTCCCTACTATCAAAACACATGACAAGAGACTTAGGGACATGCTTGTTAGAAGCCACCTCCCTACTATCAAAACACATGACAAGAGACTTAGGGACATGCTTGTTAGAAGCCACCTCCCTGCTATCAAAACACATGACAAGAGACTTAGGGACATGCTTGTTAGAAGCCACCTCCCTGCTATCAAAACACATGACAAGAGACTTAGGGCCATGCTTGTTAGAAGCCACCTCCCTACTATCAAAACACATGACAAGAGACTTAGGGACATGCT